TGGATACAAGTACTTCATAGAGTACAGCAAATATTTTTTTTAATGTAAATTTAGATCATTCAGCCACTTCCAAGAGGTTCATGAGACAGACAACAAAGCAGTTACTATTTCTATCTTTGTAGGCTAGCATTTCTTGAAATTTTCTTCATTTTTCCAAGATATTTCCCGCTACAAAACTATTTGATACAGTATAATGCAAAATACACAGCAACACTGTGCAATCTACCCAGTAAAACTGCTATTTGACCTCGAAAGTTAAAGCTTTGTAAAGGAAAGCAGATACAAAAGAAATATGACTAATCTGAATCAATGGAGAACGCTACATCTTAAAGGTGTCGGAGAAAAACAAAAAAGTAGTAAACAAATCTTGGATTCTCAAGTGAAGAATACTTACCAGTTTATAACTTTTACTGATGAAAACTGGCATTCAAAGCCTTTTGAGCAACTATCTTTAAAAATTTTACTTCCAAGTTATGGCTCAACAATTAGCAGATACAAATTAACCAACAATGCCTCACGGGGAAAAAGAAAACAAAACAAAACTCAAACCACCAGCATTAACATTATTGTCCGAAGCTTATTTTGTAAAAAAGCTACCAAAGAAAGGTCAGTTAATTCATCATGATGGATTATCACTAAAATTTATAAGCATTAGCATTTTTCTCCTTGCTGGATACCTTGACTTTGATATGACACATATTGAATGAATCATCTAAGATGCAGGCACCAGGCAAGATATATCTTAATGCAGACAGGTCGGCGACATGAACCCTAATGGTCCTTATCTTAATCTTGTTTAAAAGCATCTTAGATTTCTGAGTAATCTTTTCACCTTCTGATATTCTCTTTTATAGAGTGTTTTTGCTGGAGTTGCTACTGATTTTCACATAAATGCATTTTTGTTGCATAGTATCACCAGTTTTAGTAGCCCTGAAAATTATCTAGGTTTGCAATTTAGTAAATGTTAAGATTAAGCTTATTTTAAAAAAAGTCAATGTGCCAGAAGTCCGATAATGTCGATAAAAATTTGTATGTTATTGTACATTAACCCCTTCATGAAACATGGCATCACAGCTGTTCATAACATAAATAGACACCTATCGAATGTGGAGATGTATATCCGATGCATTGTTTTCTACTCATCCACATACTTTCCTCCATTGCATTATTAATGTTGGATATTTGCCATACGTATATTTTAAACAGTCACTCTTCAATGAAAATATGTACCTGATTAAGACAAAGGCAAGTTTCTCTACTATTGCTTTTTTCATATTCACATCTAGTAATTGCAAATTACACAGAGGTAAGAAGGTGGCAGACTTTTCCCACAAAACTGTGCTGAGTTCTTTCTGCTACAGCTGCTTTGATTAAAAAAACAGCAGAGGATGGAGGGGCACAGAGGAAGATAACAAGTGAATTATTTTTAATTCAGATTTTTTTGCACTAACAACAGCTCATACATAGAAAGGTCTTTGGAAAGTACCTTCTCAGCCTGACAAAGTATTTTCTTAAACTGATGATTAGGAAAGGATGCAGGCTTACAATGTTGTGGCCTTTAAATTCATTACAAAACAGCTGAACAACATTCTACAGATCATAAATATCTTGCTGTAAGGGGCACTCCAGAGCAAAATATAGACAAGTGACTACTCCCTCTTCCTGGCAGTAGACAGCTTCTTCAAAGAAATTTAGGATCTCCCAGGAAATAGTCTACCTGAAGAAATGCTAGTAGAGAAAAATGCAAGCCATTAATGGATGCTTTTTGCACTCATTAGCACTGGAAGGAGTATTTGACTAAAATTCTAGCTCCTGCAGCAATGTACTCTGCTGACATTTATAACGATCATCTCAGATGTTCTAAGCAGCATCCAGTTTTCTCATTTTATGATTAATGTGGTGAGACCTAGAAATTTTACTTGCCCTCTATTTATTTTCACAATGGAAACTTTCTAGTAGGTTGATCTCTCTTCTAGGCGAGTATGAGATATATTTTCTCTCTATTATAAAATTCAGAAGTCTGAAACAAATAATTAAATTTCTGCTAGTTTGTTTCTCCAGCTCTAACACGAATACAGGGGTCATCACTTTCACCAAGTATTGGTAGATTACTTCTTTAATGTATACAAAGCAACCTGAAATTCCAGACAAAATACAGAGAAATAAATATTACTCATAAAAACCCCTTATAAATTCCAGACTGGGAAGTTCAAATGGTAATACTAATTCTATTTCTGCCATAAGTTTGTTTTATTTCCGATATTGCGTAATGAAGTTCTGAGTTACAGGACAAGCAGTAAGAGAACACTGCTTGGGTGCTAGCTCTAGGGTCCCAACATCATTCATCACAAACTGTGTCAGGCAGGGTTCTCAATTTCTGCTTCCTGTGGCAGGTGTTACCTTCCATTCTTTCCAATCCCATAGACTGAGGCCAAAAAGTGTGGATTTACCATTCTTACAACAAAAAAGAATACATACCTATATTTTATTAAAGTGAAGGAAAGTCTATGAAATTCAAAGTGAACAGAAGTGAATGAAAGTGCAGTAAGATGCTATTTCTGTCTCTAGCACTCTCCTTATATACAAACAAGGAAAGTGACATACAATTTACTACCTGAATTAAATAAATAATGGGCTTTCCAGAAAAATAAAATTAACTTTATTTACAAAGCAAAATAACGAGGGATAATTGTCAAAGAGGTTTTCAGGCAAACAGGTAAAAGTGTGCAGCATGAATGCTGGAAGTGAGGTACCGAAACAGAGCCATCCAAGAAGCAGGGCTTCTGCCGGAGGTGCAGAGCAAAGGACATCATTGCTGAGCCACAGATTCTTAAAACTAAAAGAGAATGTTGAACTGAAAAATGCATCTGTAAGTGTAACAAAACTGAAATCCAATGTACACGCCTAATAAGTTCAAGCTCCACCAAATTACCTGGATAGACAGTACTCATAATTCAGAGCATTGCCCTCAACCTTCCAGACATTTAAAAAGACTTTATTTTTCACTTATTCCAAAGTTGAAACTCCAATTCATAAAACAGGTTGAGCCCTCAAAAAATCTGCTTAACTCATAATAGTTAATTCAGTGAGGTACATGACCACGTGTATTAATCAGATCTTGACAGCCTTGAACAATTTCTTTAAAAGCTGCTTTTTTTTTTTTAAAGAGACGTAGCAATTTCCCTATGAAAATCTCTGAAAATCAGTTTTGAAATGCAAATGTGCAGGTAAGAATTATTCTGTGTGATGATGAAAGAAAAAGACCTTGTTTTCCCTAATATGCTTATGCTTACATTATTCTGTGTTTTCAACATATTAAATCTCAGGCTTAAAGGCAACCCAATCCAGAATAAAAGAAGTAGAATGAACAAGGGCATCCACAGAAAAATATTGGCAATGTGATTTTAAAATATCATCCTTCAATTGTCTGCAATTTATATTTATCAATACTTTCACTAGGATCACAGAAGTGTTCCCACAAAGAAAAAAAAAACACTCAACATGTTTAGCTGGGTGACCTTTCAGTAAAACATAAGGGCAGTGAGAGGGGGAAGGGTACCAGAGCTGTCCAGCAATCTCTTTCCTTCTTTATTAAATGTCATTACAAAGTCTCTCTATACTTTCAATTCAGATTACTATTTTCATAAAGACTTTCATAAATATTTGTCAGGTCTGTATACATAAGATCAACTATCACATACTGTTCAACATTATTCACTTTAGTAAAAGAATAATGATGACAGTGAAAACCGAAATATGTTCCCATTTCAATTCTTAAATAAATTGAATGCAAAATTTATTTTCAGATCGTTAACTTTGCATATAAGTGCAGGGTTTTGTGAGCTAGGTTAAATAAATTCATAGTCAGTAATGTGCTTTTTTCAATGACTGTACATTACCTGGTCTAATGTGGTCACCTAATGGTTACTGTCAGTAATTGCACTGATGACTGCAATTCTTTGTAGACACCCAGTGAAGAAAACACCCTCGCTTTGCAGCCTCTTCACTTAAATAGTAAAACTAACATGAAGGTTTTGTAAAAAAGAAGAAATCGTTTTTATTTCATTTTTAAAAATATTCTGTTAAGGAAACTTAGAGATGAGGTAAATGGTCTAAAACCTTTATTTCCATTATGCTGGGGTTTTTGCTCATTTGGTAGGATTTTTTTTTTTTTTTAAGAGGTTTTTGTTTTGTTTGTTGAGAGGATTTTTTAATACCATAAATGATGGTTTAAAATGAAAAAAAGTCACCGTCTTGCAAGCATTACAAGAAAAATGGGCATGAATTACAGAATTATATTGCAGGTTTATATTCCTGTTCCTCAGAGCTGACCATAAATAACAGTAAGAACTAATAGAGAAGAAAGCAGAACTACCGTGAGGTACAGATTAACCATAATTAGATATCTGTTGTCAGTGAAATTAGATATTACATAGTTTGAAATTGAGAAATTTGATTCCTTTCAGCCAATGCCAGTGAGCAATTCCCCCCCCGACGCAAGAAAAATATACTAGACTCTCCAACGCAGTGAAATGGAACAAGAAACAAGGAAAAAAGAAATTAACTGGATGAACACTACATTCAAATAGCACACAAAGAACATGCAAAGGCATTCTTGCTGCTGAGTTATACACATAAAGTTTCCTTTCATGATGTGTGCTTACATGGAGATTTTTTTGTTTTGTTTTGTTACATAATTTCAAAACATTCAGGGAAACAATTTAAGAAAAAACTGCAGATTAGTCTGGCTTTTTTTTTGGTAAAACTAATCGAAACAATTAAACAAATATGAACATGTTTTTTCATGAAAACAAAACTTGTACGCCAGCCAATGTAACATCCAAGAAATTACAATATAATATAATCACAATGTGTTATTACAACACATTTATTTTATAAACATTTATATAAGTTGATGCATAAAGCAAAAGATTACACAGTACATTTTCAAGTAGAGTGTGTGTGTTTTTAGAGGAAGAATATGAATTAAGATCTCTTACCTTATAGGATGGCAAAAAGCACAGAATTCCTTGACCAACTTTTTGACACACTGAAAGCAGAAGTGCTCCCACCTCATCTTGGAACTCAAAGGCCTCCGTGTGCTGGAACGTGGCACGCAGCTTCCGACCATTAGGGCCTGCTCCAATGGTGCCAACCCAAACCTGGTGTATTTCATATTAAAAAAGTTAATTCTAAAAATATGCGACACAAACTGTATTATATTAAATTAGGTTAAATAATGAAATTTTAAGTGTGAAGGAAAATACTGAGATATTTCTAAACAAATTAATTCCAGTACTTAAAAACAGAAGAGAAAGTGCAATAACTGATAGAAGATGGTTATTAACAAAATAGCTTGACTTCAACTTTTCCAGGGGAGTATGTGTCTAAAAATTGCCCCTTTTTTCATTTGAAAATGTACTTTACAATCGCATTAATCCAAGCAATAGTCTGTTCTGTACATTTCTTTTTACTTACGGAATGGGTTTGTCATTGTTTTTATTTGCAAGTTATTGGCCAGCATTACACCTCAGGAGAGGGAACAATGATGCAAAAGTTTACCTGTGAGTTCCGAATAACGTGATTTGCCTCCAACTGTATAGAAAACTTCACGCCAAGCTCTGAAGAAAATGAATCCATTGGAGAGAGCGTACCAGATGTCAGAACAATTGTTCTAACATCACTTAAGTCTGAAAAAGCCTAGGTTGGAGAAAAAAAAAAGAAGCAATTTAGAAAATCAATACAATCACTTTGAGATCTTGTATGGATTTGTTATCACTCAAATCACTTTTAAGGCCTTCTACTTCACACTCAGCTTACCACAGCAGGATTCAAGCACCAAAAATTAAGCATGTGGACTACGGTTTTCTGCCGCAAACTCCTTTTACGCTTGGGCTGTGTAAAGAAGGCACTTGTATCTGAAACATCATGTTGGTTTTCATTCATCCACGCATAAGTTTCTTGTAGAGCAACTCTGTAGTCATCTGCATACCTATATAGGGATATATAAATATCAATAAAAACAATCAAACTGTAAGCATTAAGCTCATACAAAGCAAAGACAGTGTTGCTACAATGCATTTACATTTTAAGTACAAAAATAATTTTATACTTTCAGAAAAAACACTTACAAATAAGGTTTAAATCAGAAATTTTTAGTAGCTGCTGGCATTAGTAGTCAAGATATCAAGACAGTCAAACGATAAGTGCTATGTAGAAAAACAAAATGCATGCATATTTAACTTGGCAACACATCAAGAAAATTTACACCTAACCTTCAAAAAAATTTCTTCAGTATTTGAATTCATTCATGAATGAAAAAAATAATTTGGTAGTATTTAAATTCTTCCCACATAAATAGATTCTCCAAAGCTTTCCGAAATGCTAGTTTTGCTCAGAAGCCAGACACCATAACTGAGGTGTTGCACGAATGAAAGAGGCATTTTGGCATAGCAGCTGAATTAAACACAACCACACAGCTCAGGCTATGTATTTGCACTGACCTGCTATTATCTTTAAAAAGACATAAAAGAACCATGAATAACCCTTTCAGCACAATCTGAGTGGCAGGGCTCACAATCGGTATCTCAACAAGTTCCTCTTTACCAAGCACTGATATTTTTTCTTCTTTTTCCAGGACAGTAGCAAGATGTTTCTGTAAGAGGCAAACAAATTCCACATTAACAGCATTCTAAGTATCTTCTCAAAAACAAAGCTAATACAGACACAGACTATCAGCACACTGTTTCACAAGTTCACCTAAGATACCTATAAAGTCAGACTGAAGACAGGAAAGGAAAAGTAGCAATGCTTTTAACGTATTCAGCTTACACAGAAAGGAGGGATAAACTTGAAAATAGGGTAAATACATTTCAACAGTCAATAAAAATGCAGATGGATAGTACAGACAAAACTATCACTGACTCAATGGTTCAATTTAAATAGTAGTACATGATCAATTATATCCTTCAAAACATTGATTCTCCACAACTTCCAGTAGGTCAAGTGGGTTACTCCTGGTTTTCATCAGGTATCATTTTCAGACAGCTTTTCAGTATTGCAGCAAATTAAAAGATGTGTTAGCGTTTAACTTATGTACATTTTAAGATGTTTAACAACATCAATATTATGCACTCTGGTACTCATTTACACAGCATACAACATTACCTGTAAAATGGGAAAAGTAATAGCAGTTATTCCCATTTTGTGCAAAATGGTGAGCATTTCTTTTCCACTCCAAACTTTACAGGAAGTTTCATACCCTCTTTCTACCAGTTGACTAGAGCTCTCCTGTAACCAGCTGTAAAAAGAGAGAAATCAGAAATAATTCCAGCATTCATTTTAGAGATCGAGAGATACTTTGCAGGTACAAACCAAACCTCAAAAATTGCACCAGGTTTCTATGATGATGATAAATATTTTACTACATCTAAGTAGAGAGATTCTGCTTTTCCTTATGCCAGTTTTCCACTGCTGAACTAACTTCCGCAGAACTGCTCTTGATGCAGTTCATTGAAGTGAGAAGAAAATTTGTCCCTATACATTTATGTTTTACCATCATGTAATATCTTTACAATAAAGAAAAAGGATTAAAATATAATCTGCTCTTACGATATAACATGGCAGGCTCATTTAAGTAAGATTTCTGCTGTACTTTCAAAGCCACTCATTATTACTCTAACTGATGCAAGTTGGTTTATCGTCCCTGTCAATTGCAGGCTTTCCTATTAAAAACAAATCTTGAGGCATGAACTGAGTACTTTTAACATTTATACACAGTAAGAGAAAGTGGGGCAATAAAAAGTGCATATTTTAACCTACCTACAGGTATTTAACTCTGTTACAATTTGAAAATTAAGCAGAATTATAATCGTACGTACAATGCAAAATGTGATAGGACTTTCTAAAAACACGATCGAAACATGCAGATCATCTCATCTGTGACAGAGCCAAAATTTTCTCTAACTGAATGTGTCCTCCTTCATCCCTGCAGTATTACAAGACCTTCCCTCCATCTAGAAAAGCAGGCAGGCTTCCTCCCTCTCAGGAAATGCCAAAGCTGTCTGTTTCATCAACCAGCAGGAGGCATCAGAAAGACAGCTGTCATTTCTACAACAGTTCAAAATATTTACCTGTAAAATCAGTTAATCGTTATCAACTAAAGCAACAAGGCTTAGCGACTGTTTCAGTTCCAGACTTCCTGTCCTGTCACTGCAAATAATCTGATCAATGGAACAATTAAAAACACTTTCCTTTTCCCAGGTTAAATGCAAACAAAACCCCATAAATACTACCATAATAATCACTTCTTTGGCTATGATTTGCTTTATCTCATTAAGGAATGATGATCACTAAACACAGGCAGAACTTCACCAGTGTAGTACTCTGCCCCATTTCCTCAAATGTAACATCAAAAAGACTCAGAACTAAAATTAGGAAAAGGCCACTGTGACAGAAATGAAACAGATTTACAGTGGATAGAACTTCTACATTTCCTGAAATGTTTTGTTTCCCTGTTATGATCTTCAAACACCATCACACACTTTTGAAATGGTCATGCTATAAATGCAAATAACAAACTTAACACAACAACCTTCCTAATACTAAAATATCACAAAAAAGCAAATTCTAGAATAAATTCCATCCAATTAAATCTAACGTTAAAGCATTTACTTGAAATACCTGTTAATTTATTTTTAGAGTGAAGCAGTAAGCATGAATAAAATTAGTTTGATTCCCAGAGACATCAATGGTTTTGAAGTGAAAATTGGTGTATGCAATATTTTCAGGAAAAGATTTAACAAATGTTACAAACATGCCTTTAATTCAATAAAGTATATTTGCTCCCTCCTTCCCCACCAGAAAGCCCCACTGCTGATACAGCTTACTCCATTGAACAAAGTAATTTTTCCTGGTAAATCTGCATCTCATCAGAAAAGCCTGCCAGTATACCTCTACTGGTATATCTTCAAATTCCTCAGAAAGGTCATTTTAGCACCTCTGTGGCACTAAGCCCATGCTTAAGTGCCTTCTGGAATGAGGGCCCAGGATCTTTATAACTGAAATAAAATTTTTCTAATTACCCATGCATTTGGCAAAGCCATGTCACTATGCAACAGTATTTTACCAATTACTGGCTATTTACACCCAGTCTTCTGCTTTCCAACAACTGTTTTTCATGCTGTTGGCAGATTTGCCAAGACAATGAACCTTAGTTTTTCTGATAAGATTACAAAGCTTGAGGCAATCAAATCTCCAGCCATGCTGTTCTCATCTTTTGCTAAAATTTAACATTTGAAATAGCCAAGGCAGGAGAATTAGCTTCCGCGAAAAAGAAAAACTCACTTGTCTCTGTGACACATAAACATTAACTCTCAGAATAGAGAAAGGATAGGAAAAATGGCGAACTACTTGCTGTAGTGTACTCCAAAGTCTATTTCACCAACCACTAATGCAACAAAATGACAATTTGACATGCACTGAATCAGAGTTCAGTTAGCTTCAAAGCCACTTGTGTCATTATTCACTTTTATTCTGCTGACTTTGTTGTTCAAGGTTTCATTAGCAGTGCATTTCTGAACTCTTTCAGTCCCTGGATCCCTCAAAAGAAAGGTTCGAAATTACGGGCTACAGAGCTGAATTCCAAATTCTCTAGTGGTGACAGACTCTTCTAACATTGTTTCAACTTTCTCATGTTCTCACTCCACCCAAAAGACTTTTGCCCTTGACCCCTTGACTCCTTCCCGAGCTTCTTCCCCCAGTCCATTTGCTTTTGTTCCATCCCCTCTCATGATTTTCAACTGCTGCTTAGCTCTTCCCCTTCTAGTTCTGCCTCCATAGTTTCTGGGTTTTACCTTCTTTTTTGCTCTTACTACCTTTTCCTCTATGGGTACAGGAAGAAACAGAGAAGAGGAGAACATTTTCTGTTTTTTCAGCTTCTTTCTGCCTTACTGATCAACTCTTGCTTTCAAAACCACTTCCTCAATCATTCATATTTCTCTATCCACTGAACTCCAAGACCCTTGTGTTCCAACAAGGCAGGTACAAGAGATTTGGCACATCCTTGATTTCAATTTCAGTACAACAGCAAATCATTAAAACCACATTCTACTGACATAGTCCAGGGAGAAAGAACGATCAGTAATTCTGTGTGGACAACTTTTGCCTGAGAATAATCAGGAATAAGAAGAGGATAGTGCATGCTCTGTTCAAAGAGTTTGCTACCCGAATTCTCTAAAGCCTTCAACAAGTCTCTTCTGAGAATTTGCATGTATCCCCATTTTTCAGACCCTTATCTCTTTGCTCAAGTTCAAGTTGTTTCACAGGGAAAACAAAAGGGCATGGCTGATAAATTCACTTTCAACTATGAAGAAACTGTTCCAAATACATTCCAATCAGATTCCAAGAACAGACTCCAACCTGTTCCGAACACTTCCTGTCCAAGGTTCTGAAAACATTTCAGAAATGTGAACTAATTAATGCTTTGACAAAATAACGCTATTACTATTTGTCAAATAAGCAAACAGAAGCATGTGAAAGACAAAAATTATTTATCTTAGGTAGAATTGTCATACAGAACTTCACAAACTAGGACAGTAAGCCCCATAAAGATCAGCACATCATTCAAGAGCATAACATACTTTTCAAAACAGTTCCCCAAGGTCTCCCTTTAAGACAAGAGTTTTTGGTTGGGTTTTTTTTTTTTTTTTAATACATCAAACCCCTCTGGATTCCTCAAATGAACAAAAATCAGATGACTGCATAGTTTGAAGTATACCTCTGTTGCATTTTATCTGATGCAACATAGTAACTAGTAAATTGCATCAGCAAAAGGAATCTCAATGTAATTTTAAAAAATACTAATTGATATAACGGAATTAGAAAGAGTTGCCTTACTTTGTCAAAGAGCAGCACACAGCCTGTAGGGGCTTATGATCCTTCTGCCTGATGTTGTTATTGACCATGAAATCTAGCTCTTCTCGAGCAGCTCTTAGTTGACTTTCTGTAACACCGTAGCTCACTGACTCCCGAGCACAGTCCTCAATATTATGGGCTTCATCTAAAATGACTACTTGGCCTTTCAGGTTAATTTCCATCTAAAAAAGAAAATTATTATCTAGTAAAACAGAGTGAAAGACATTAACGAGAAACAGCAACTAACAGGATCCTGTTAAAAAAGTGCATATTCTGCATCACGGTGTAAGCAACAGGAAGTTTTCAGCTTTTTGATCCAGTTTCTGTAACCTAGAAAATAACCGGGCGGGGGGCACGGGGGAGGAAAAAGCCTTATCTCAGCCTAGATGAATATAATCTGAACCTACTACACTCTCCATAAACCAAACAATTGTGAAGTTTGCAAGGGTTTCTTTTCCACCGATTGAAAAAAAACCATGTGACTGATCAGCTAGAGTATGAGACCAGTAGAAGCATTACTTGGAATACAGAAATGCTCACTGGGGGGTGGGGGGGGAGAAGAGAGAGAAAAAAATTCTTTAACCCAGGAGTTATTTTGTAGATAGTATTTTGGATATAACTCAGATTTCAGTTGACCGTAGCCACTGATCATTATGTTTCTAACTTCCCTTTAACTTCAGTTATTGCAATCTTCTTACAAGTATACTTACGCTCTCCCGTATCTGTGGGTCTAGGAGATAATTATAAGGACAAAATACAATATCTGCGCCCACCATGAGTTCTCTGGCTGCAAAATATGCACAGGCACGAAGCTTCTTTCCCAGGCTCACCAGATCTTCAATGTCCCAAGCCTGATACATCCTATGGGCAGACTGTAGGGCGTGGTGTTCACTGAGTTTATGAACACCATGATAGTAAAGACAGGACTTGCCCTAAAAGCAAATAAGCACAGACAGTCAGTGGTTACAAAAAATAATGAAAAACGAGTAAGCTTAAATCCTCCAAGTTGTTACATGCATTTGACTTTATTTCCTGGAAGCATTTCTAACAGCTACTTTTTATGTCAGACAATAATGAGAAACACATCATGTCAGAAAGAACACAGGCAAATCCATGTTCCTAAAATGTACATCGATAAAGGACACTTCTTTCTTCTTCATCTATAAAACCAAAGACAATTTAAGTCTTATGAAGACCATTAATCTAGCAGTCATAAATATTATTCCTATCATCATACATTTTTTCAGTATTGATACCATGTATCAACATTTTCTAACAATCAATATTTAATTTAAACCAAATTGCCAGAGGCATTTAACGAACATAGTATAAAGAAGTCAAAAACGTTACTCATTCCAGCTGTTCAACTACCTTTCATTTTAATATGTTTAAATGCATGCTCATTTTCTGAAATAAAATTACTCACATGTTTTCCTTCCAGCAATTCTACACACATTTCGTTCCTGTTACTACCACTACTAGATACCACTGGATGAATACAGGTATAATCCCGGCTAGAAAGAATTGTCATAGGGACACTGGAATATGCTGTTCTCTTCAACTCTCTGGTAATCTGGGATATTTGCTTGTGTGTTCGTGTTCCAAAAAATATTTTGGGAATGAACGACCGATCTCCATTTTCTTTCTTCTTTGTGTTACTAGCATCTTTATCAGTTTCTTTTCCAGAAGAACAGGAACACTCAGTGCAAGGACCAGAAGACTGCAACCCAGAACAAAAAAAGATTAACAAAATCCCACGGTAAGATGAACATGCCAAATTCTGCTCATGGTCTGTTTAGAAAATGCCCTCTAGGATAATTCAAGACAGCCTGTCAGATCACCAGGTTGACCTATCAAACTGCAAAAAGTTTAAAAATGTTAAAGCATACACACCATGTCCTCATGTCTGAAAATCTTAAAAAACTTCTAGCAATCACTAGATACAACTTTATCATAACCCAATCGTAGAAAGAATTATTATTCCAGTGGAGTATTTACACATATGAAAAATGCAAATAAATTTGTCACATTTAAGCTTCAGCATAAGGACACTCCTGTTTCAGAACAAGAAGTGTCCAGCACCTTAAATGAAGAAACCTTGGGACCAGACACCCAAACTAAAATACTGAGTACATTTTTCCTTTAAACTGCCCAGATTTCTTCTGCTCGCTTTAAGAAATCTTTCTGCAGATAAAACAGACTACATCATATACTCTCCATTAGAAACACGTTTGCCATGCCATTATGTCGAAGGCCATCTAGTAACTATAAGAATAAAAGACAAAATAGGGAATAATTCTAAACAGAACCTAATCCTGTAAAATATTTGTTAAAAGCCAATTTTTTTCTTCTTGAGAAGCACCATCTTTCATAATATAAAATACTGGAACAACTGTCATGAAATTGTAACAATTAGTGTGAAAAGACACAAGGAAAACAAGATAACTCATGAGTAACCATGTCCACACACACCTCCTATAAAAAATAATGCATTCTTCTAGTGTAAAAGAGTTTGTATTTGGTTTTCAGGTGACAGTGCAAGTAACAACATGTAGTTGCCCGCTCAAATACTCCTCCCACCCCTTTTAATTGTGATCAGTAAGATTATCCGTTATAAACAACTGCTAAGTCATGCCGTGTGTTACACCACAATTCTGGGGATCAAGCTGTCTTTTAGCCTCCACTCTGAGGAAAAGCAAGTTCGTATTACCCTTAGTCCCGCTCAGCCTTGTCCGCCATTAAATATTACAATACATGATAGAATGCATGTAAATGTAACCCTTCTGGAGCTGTCACTCACTGGGATAAAAGGTTCACTGATGTGCCAAATAAACAGGCCCTCAAAGCAGATAAAGTTACACCCATGCTGGAATTGTTACATTCCCCTCTCAGGTTGCCAGTAACAGCAGATTTCATTACGGTGTGCTGCCACATTAAATAGCCAGTTCCAAATATCCTGCCTTCTATATTGAATAATTACTTATTCACTGAAAGGATAAAAAGAAGAGTTATGAATGGGGCTCTTGTCAACAGCAAAGCAGGAAACAGCTGACATATGGTATATGTTACATATGTGGCAATACTCAACTCAGTTTGTACTCACACAGAAAACTGCAATGCAAATTGTACCTTGATATTTCTACCATCTATATTCTATTTTGCTCTTTGAAATAATGAAAACCACATTACTATGCTAACAATTAATATAACAGAAGCAGTCTACTTACTGTGTAGGGCCTTTAAGAACACATTCACCTTTTCATTCTAATTCAAGTCAGATTGTGTTTTCAGAGGTAAAAAGAATACACAGAATTCAAAGATGATACCATATCACTAATACTTCACTGCTAATGCTAAGCTTCACATTTAGTTTGCCAAATAAAAGTAATAGAAAAATATTAGGACCCATCAGGCAGCTATTCTGCAAAAGTTGTTCTAACAACAAGAAAATGCAGTTCAAATAAATATATAAACATGAACAGAAGGCTCTTCTACGATGGGTTTAAAAAAAACAGATATATTTCTTTTCATAAAAAGAATTTAAAATGTTCTTATGTGTAAGGCTTATAAATTACACTATTTTACAGGTGGCCTTAAAAGTTTTTCTTAAAAGGTTTGAAATTGGTATAATACTGGCTTTAAGAGGCACTTTACCCAGTATGCCAGTTTTAAAATGTTACCTTTAACTTTGAAAAAAGTTTAAAAAAAAAAAATCAACATTGAGAGTTGTAAACTCAGACTGATTTTATAGTAACTAGTATGAGTATAAAACTGCCTGTAGCCATAACATTTCTGAAAGCCACAGACACCATTAGCCCAAAACCCATAAATAAATAAAACCTTTTTAGAAGGTCCTTATAATGAAGAGAAACTTCAAGAAATGGTTAAAACATAGTTTAAAAGTCGAGTTCTTCATGTTATACGCACATTATTCAAGTGTGTCAATTTGCATTTGAATTCTTTGTTATCCTTTAGAAAATGGTTTGGCCATCTTTAAATTTTATTAAAAACAAACTATTTTAATTCTATATTTCTATAAAAAGAATTTACTATCGATATCACATAGCAAAATCTAATGTGGTGTTAATCTCCCATTACTACAGCAAAAGGAAAGAGAATACTCTCCAGCTGAACAAAGTGGTAACTCCAATATGGCAGTTCCCATAGCAGCATTGCCTCAAAGTACAAATGTTTAGACTCGTAACAGAGATACTGGTTATATCTTAATAAAATTAGAAAAATGTTTCAATTCATTAATTGGGGGGGGGCTGAGTAGAAATAATTAAGACAATAAAAAACTATTTCATAATACTCTCTGGCTTCAGAACTAAACCTGTTTTCAGCTGTTTGAATCTGGCATAGAGATTTTCATTTGGGAGAGGGGAAAAAAAGATACTCCTCTACTTTCTGCAGTATTTAATCAGAAACATCCACTAACAGATGCTGTTAGAGATCAGATACCAGACTATATGGACCTTGGGCTAATCCCGCTTGTTTTTACTTCTGTCGGGGGGTAGATAAAACAGCCTATCACATCAATATTTATACGGCAAAAACGTGGAAGTCCAATTAAAAGAAGAATAACGCAGTCCACCAACCTGTCCTGCGTGTAAAATAGAGCTAAACAAACACTGAGGCTATGATCTTTGAAACACAAAGAGGTAAGAGAAGTTCTTCATATCTTCATCTACATTTCCCAGTTACAAAGCCATCTAAATGATACAGCAGTGAATACCTCTTGTGTGAAATATCACACAAGCACAATCTAGTAAGATATCAGCAGTGACATTACCAGAGCTTTTCAACTATTCCTTTATAAGCTCTCAAAAAGCACAGTATTCTGCTGCTGCTGCAGCCTCTTGATTAAAGTACACAAAGCAGCTGTTTATCCTCTCACAGTAACCAGCAGGTGAACCCGGTTCAATATTTATCACAGGCTTTCACAGATCACTGCTAACCAAGCAAACGTTTTAATTAAGCTGGAACTTGCTTCAAAGAGCTCATTCAAAATGTCAATCAGCGGGAAAAGGATCAGATACGGTGTCAGGTGAGAGCGTGTAATACAAATCCACAACTTTCTTCATCCCATCGTGGTAAATTAGCCTATTCTGGAGTCCAGACCCTGATTGTAACAGGCTGCCAGTCTCCTGGAATGTGTAACAGAAGTCACTCAAACTCCATTGTGAAGGTTGTAAGCAATATGTTAAACTGCAATGGGCTAGCACATTAAGACAGATTCTTTTCACAGTTGTTTTTTGATACCCCAAGCATTTGTTACACTACTCTCCATTTACTGTTTACTTTTTTTACCTAGTATAAATGGGGATTCCTTAACCCAGCTGCCCCAGTTTCTCAGACTGTATGCTTTGACAGAAGCAATCAAGAGAGTACCGTAAGGGTATAATTTCTCATTTAAACTCACACTAGAACTGCCTTCTCTTGCAAGAATTAACAGAAGGACAGAAATGGATTCCCAGGCTCCTGACTGAAAGCAGCTAAGAACAAGCAGTCACCTTGGGCAGAAGATCCTCACCCACTGGATCTACAGGTGGTGTTCTGATACTGCAACGCTGGGCAGCACCTCTCACGTTCTTAAAACAACCAACCCATTCCCTCTCTGTCGGGCTACAAAAAGGAATACTTTGACCAGGAACTAACTTTGCTTTAAGCACGGGATTGACTACAGTAAAACACAAGATAGACAAAGGGAGGGTTCTCTCATTGATTAAGAAAATATCTTTATCGCATTGTTGTATCATCCTAAATACATAGTTCATTATGGTAAGTGTTGAACATAACCTCAGTTGACTATTTCATAAGCTACACTAGAAAAGCATTTTTATACTTAACAGCCTATGCTGTGATGCTCTTCATGTCTTAAACTTAATGCAGTTAAGCCGCAGAACTACTAATGATAAATAAGGCCTTACTTTCTGAAATTGTTTCTTGATACCAGACAAGTTCTCAGTCTGCTAAACTAAAAAGTTCATCGCTGGAAAATAATACCTTATTCTTTCATTCTTATTAAGAAACTTTTTTTACAGAGAAATAAACACTCCTTTCATCCTTAAAAAGACACTTTAACACAAAGAAACACTTTTATTTCTTCTTAGCTTACTTCTTTCCAAAGAAGTAGTAAACAGTACAGTTGAATGACCCATGGATAGCACATTATAACACACTCATGTACAGCTAAACTACTGTTAGAAAACTGAAGTTTTCTTAGAAAATCAGATTATGACCCAGTATTTTATTATTTAACAGTTAGTTTATCTATACTAAAAGTTTTTAGTTTTCTTCACTACACAAAATTTCTAGAAGTTGTAAATCAAGTTTTTCAGATACCCACACCAAAGTACCACAGCAAATTTTACAATCAAGGAAGGAAGAAAGGTCTTTTTATTTGAAAATCAACAGCACACTCTGCTGGCCTTTGTATTTCAAACTACCAAGGGAAGTTCAGCGGCACAAAGCATTTCAAATCCTACTCAAAAATCTACGGAGCTTTCCAAAACTAATAGAAATTACTTCCCATCAAATGACCTAGAACACAGATTCACTTTTGTCAAGAAAAGATTTAGCTCCCAGTGTCTTAAAGTAATACTAAAGTTTTTGGCTTCTTTTGTGTTTACAAAGGCATAGTATACTGGAAAACAGCTCTTGGAGTTAAAACATACACTGATTAAAATAGAAGCTAATTTAGAACATAAAAAGAGCCAGGTGCTGTTGGAAGAGGTGGAAAGAGAATTGAAATGCTTGTTGAAACCAAGCATATTTCCAAACATGCATATAAAACCCTGTACTTAGAAGCCGACTTACCTACAGATGGGTATTACCGTAAAACAACATAATTAAAAAATATATATATACATTGGAAAGGGAGAATGTTCTTTGCCTTTTGAAAGAAGAAAGTAGATTTCTGTACTGAAGAAAGAAAGAAAGGTCAGACCTTATTCTTCTCTTATATTTGTCTCAAACTCATACAACTTTATGATTTCATGGCATGCTCCTGTATTTTAATATTGACAAGAACTATTCTGTCACAGCCTTTGATAAGCATTCATGGGAACTACGCCACTAACGTAATTTGGGATCTGACATTCATCTCTACTGCCTCAGATTTCTTCTTCTATTAGTTTTGCTTCAACAAACTTTTATGGAAAAATCAATAAGATTCGAACACCAAGACATGCAGAAAATGCCTAGAAGAAAGCTGCAGAAACAGCTGCATATTTGTATCTCAACTTCTTACGTGCTACTTCTGCTATGGAAAGTGGTAATTTAAAAAAAAAAAAAAAAAAAGAAAAACCACCACACAAAAACCCCAAACCCAAAACGTAAGTCTATCACAGTAACACACGGGATTTTTCTTCTTAATCACGTGCAATATTTATTACTCATTTTTTGTTATAATATATTGTAATGATCAGCTCCAACTTTCTCCATACTACTTTTTTAAGGTCTAAAAGGCACACGTGTTCATATTAAATGCTGTCTTTCGTTTACCACATAGGCCACAAAACAATGAATGGCAAATTGAACAAAATCTACAAACTCTGATGTCACTTAATTTCCATGGTTCTAGTTTCAAGTTCTTCCATAATGTCACAAATATACTATAAAATGGAATATAACACACAGATTTGTATCTGCTGTACAATTGCTGTCACATATTGAATGTTGACAGGCTGAATTGCTGGACCACATTCTGCGCTATGGGGGAGCCACGGTGTAAAAGAGTTCAACCTACTGTTTAGAAGAACAACTTTCACAGAAATAATTTACACTTTGCAAACCACATTGGTTAGACAGCACCATGAGGAGTAAAAGCCACTGCAGTTCTCGCTATTGATAGTGACGATATATTACTTTAAAGCAACTTACATACTTGGGAATCTTTACATTAGGCTGTAACGCAGCCAGAGGTATGGTATTTTCTGAAACTATATTAAACCAGCGGCATTTCGTGCATAATCTCTTTACAGTAAAGTATTTTTTTAAAATTGCTCTTGAACTAACAGTCCTGATGTAAAAGATAATACTGTATTACTTACTGTTTTGGGAGAAAAAGTGGTTTTCACACTTTTTTCAGAGTGAACAATCAGCTCTCCATTTTTTCTCTGATGATAAACTTCTAAAGCATCAACTAGCTGCACTCCTTTTGCAAAACAATGACGTTTTCTAACCTGCTGGGGGAAAAAAGTAGTGTGCAAATACACTGGACAGAAGTATGTGCTTACACTGGCAGTCAGTGATTTTGTTTCAGCTGTTTTCCACTGAGTCTGTTCCAGTAACACAGTGCATCACTAATACTCGTTAACAGTTTAACCAAATCTAAGCCACACAAAAGTCATTTGGGAAAAGCTATAAAGTTTTAATTACAAGATTCAGTAACGACAACAACAACCTGTAACTATTGCTGAGCTTTTCTTCTTTAGTTTCCCACTGTTACAAAACTGATCAAAATTATAATACTGTATAGATATAAGCAGAAAACTTCCATAACTAAAACAAGAAATAAATTCAAGCCATAAATGTAAAAACTTAAAACAAAAATAACCATCTGAGCAATACTCTAAAGCAATGTAAAAGCTATTTAGAGTGCACATCTGAATACAAGTACTAAGTCATGTGATACCAATACTGACACAGATGAAAACGTTAGAGAAATACTGCACTCCACACACGAGGCCAGAGATAACTACATTTGACAGGATATAAAACAGAACTCTAATACATTCACACGTATTAGTCGTATTTCTAATACATATTTGTAAGAGCACTTTCAATCTCATACTTCGACTTAATATTATGGATCAGCTGGGGATAAATATATCTTGGGGACATTAGGTGTTTAAATATGCAAGATGTAATTTAGGACATGGTATTATGAACAATTTAGTGCAACAATGGGCTCCTTTGTAACAAGTAACAATAAAAATGAATGGAAAAATCTGTCAATCTAAACTATGACTGTGACATGACTCAACTATTCTCTATGCCCTTCTCTGAAATGTTGATTGGTGTTTGACAGCTTTGTTGAGCTACACCTGGATTATTTTACTGCCAATAAACTTTACTCACCTGCTGCTCAGTTTCTAAAGGACGAATCCTTTTCCTGTCTACTTGAAAATCATCATTCTCATTGTCACATAGAGATAGTCTTTTTTTGGCAGACAATTTTGAAGCTAGCGTTTCATTTTCCTTACGTTCTGTAATTAAAAAAAAAAATAAAAAGCTATGTCCACTACTAGGAATGCATTAAATAAAGGCAACTTTTTAAAAATAGAATTTACTATAAATACACATGATGTAGGAAATAGCATTAGACATTTCCAGACCCATTAACCACCATTTCCATACAGACTTCCATGCAGGGCAGAATCAAGTAGTACTCCGCTATTATGATGGTAAAAAAAGTCCCTAACTTGAAAGCAAAAAAAATTGACATCACTGGCTACGTATTTTACTTCCAGAACATATTTTTAGCTGCCTATGTATGACGTTACCTGTATTTGTTAGCGGGCTTCCAGGTTTTGTGGAACTTCCAGTTTCATAATTATTAAAAGAACAAGAAGCACCGTGATTCACACTTGTTGCAGCCTCGTTGCTCTTAGATTGGGAATGACACATACAGCGACATGGCGGTGAGGTCTCTGGCTTTTTGTCTTGCTTTTCACATGACGATGTAAGCAGGGATTTCTCTAAAGGACACAGTCATTTGTCTTCCATTAAAAACTACTTAAGACTATACATGAGAACTAGACTTTCAAAACAGCTAAGATGAAAGCTTTTGTTTAGGTACCAGGTATAAACTTGTGCCTCTACAAAATCTGAACAAGCTATCATCACCCTTAGAACTGCAGTGCAAAGAACCGTAACAGCTTGCAGAAATGAAAAATACTCCTCTTTTTCAATTCCATCCGCGTAACTACAATCCACAAGTATTTTCTTTCAAAGTTCCAACAGCCATATAATTCCTTTACGGTAACAGACAGCTAAATCCAGCTTAGTATTACTAGCTATCACTGGTTTATGTTGCCAATAAGGCAATATGTATAATGGTGGACAAAGTCCTGGTTAGATTCCTGAAACCAAATGTTAAAGGGCTGATAAACAACAACAATAATTCATTATAATATATTTTGGTAATAAAAACTGGACAAACAGATGCTAAGACAACTTACCATACAGAGACTGCTGCCATGATAATGCAGAACAAAGTAATGCCAAGCTTTTGCCACTTCCTGTAGGGCTCTCCAACAAACAGTGTTGCCTGTTATTTAAGCCCTTAACAATCTTTAAGGAGAATAACAAGAACAAAACCAGAATTAACAGGAAAAAACCCAAAGAGGATGCCTTTAGCAAAGCTGTAAGTAACTTCTAAAAATAGATCAGGACACCTGCTGTCTTGTAAAAAAAAAAAAAGCCACAACCAATCACCACCATCCCCAACCATTTAATAATAACAACAGGCCAACAAGCCTTGGCTGTATTTCCTCTCAAGAGGAACATGCCGCATCAGCAATGCTCAGAGGTCCGCTTACAGGGGGCTGGGAAATACTTACCTGCTAACAGCAATAGCTGATGGGGCTAGCTTGCTTTCTTTAGTCTTACAAAACGTTGAAAACATCTGTCAGACACCCAAACCGTTTGTCCCACAGAGAAAGTGTTTAAAAATGGTTAAAACTGTTTAAAGTGTAATAATTAATTTTAAAAAAACTCCCCAAAAAGTGAAAACTTATTGAAATATTACGTTCTGTTCAAAATACAGATGTTTTACTAAAACATTCCCTCCTTATATACTTGCAAAATTATACAAAATTTCTATTACAGTATATCTAGTTGAATAACCACATATATTACATAACACATAACTTGTTTCTTAGCATAAATGTTCACAAATCCAAAAGGTACTTCAGCGGTCCCTAGTCATGGGCCAGATATCATTGTACAGCACAGAGAACAGTAAGTTACGTTACAGCTGAAATTCTCAAGATATTGGAGGCTCTGAATCTAATATGTTAGTTTTCTAAATGCTGATAGGTACTGGAAAACATAAGCTATTAGTTTAGCAGATGTTAACATAAATTCTACTCACAGCATTCATCATAGCAAGTTGCGAAGGGTAAGCCTTGCAAGGGAATATGATCTTCACTCCCCCAATAGTATATTCTGACACATCAGAAGACATCGCCACTTCTTCCTCCCGTTTACTTCAGGTTTATCCCTGCAACAAAAAATAGTATTAACAAGCGAACACTAACAACCAGGCAAAGCCTGAAACAACATATGGCACCAAACAAAAACAAGCAGAAGCTGCTAACCTGATAAGGGGGCTAAGCAGTTCAGGATATTAACAGAACTGGCATATAGGAATTTATACTGCACCTCATCTGTTCAGACTCGGTCCTTGTTACACATGAGAGCAAGTTGCCACCATCTCATGAGTAACATCAGCAATTTAAATGAAAGTATGATGAACTGCGCACACCATCTCAGATTCTATTTCTCAGACTGAATATTGTTGGGATAAGAACCCAAAACCTTGGGAGAAAAGTATTTTAGGATATTTAATAACTAAAAATAGCCAGTTTTTCAATTTTGCAGGTCCATCAGCTTGAACTGCAAGACATTACAAACTACAAAGAAACAGTTGACAACAGTAGCTTGTACTGTTCATTTTATAACAATGAGAAAACTGGACACTGACTTTAAAAATGAGGTGTTGAAAAACTAACACTTTTCTTCCACAAATAATATGGTAATTATTCAGGGGAAAATGAGGTGGCAGTCACTTTACTCTTCTGTATTATCTTGCATTTCTCTCATTCTAGATAATAAAAGAAAGTCAGTTTCCCTATTATGCTAAAATGTTGAAATTATTGAATTAAAAATACTGAAGAGGCATAGATGGCTTAAAAAAGCACTACTTTCTTTAAACGACACAGAGATTTTTTTCTTACAGGTTTTCAGCATCTACAAAACAAAAGAGCAATTTTAAATTGGCAGATTCCCTGTGATGAATTAACTCACTAACCTGTGCCCTTCTCTGACTTTTAATGAGTAAACACATACATCAAAAACACACCAATGTATGGCATGATTCAGCTTCATCATCAACTTTCTCAACAGGAAAAAGAAATCCTAGCAAAAAGAGATTGCTAACGTGAGTTTATGTCCTACCCCTCCTTCCAAAAATGTAACCGCACCCCATTAAAAGGCTTCTCCCTAACACATCCAGGGCGGGTTCGCTTAAACGAGCACGACTTTGAATCGAGCCTTGCCCAAGAAAAAAGCAAGCCCCCGCCGGGGCGGCGGGAAGGATTCAACACCAAAGGGGGCAGGAGGCCGCAACGGTCCGGGACACCGGGAACGCGGAGGGACCCTTCGTCCCGCTCTGCTCCGCTCCACCCGGGAGCGCCTCTGGGAGGACCGGGGGCGCTCCCCAGGGAAATCCCGACGCCACCTTGGCTCCAGCCCTGGGGAGAATCTTTCTGCCTCGCTGCGGCCGAGAGCAGGGAGCGCTGAGGAAGCTGCTGTCATTCTCCTGCACGTATCGCCCCGCCCCAGCCTACACAGAGGCACCCGGGCGCTTCCTTTATCCTCCTCCAGAGGTAGGGGTCCCCAGAAAGCCACTTTCCTCCCACCCTGCGCGAGCCCGGTCCCCTCACAGCCGCGCTCCGCCCCACGGGAGTGCGC